CCTACCCTAGCCTCAAGACAGCTTCCCATTGGCGAAATCCGCTCCCAATATAGACCAATCATCCTTAGTCTTGTTCGGTGACGCAAATGGTGGCCACACCCCTTCACCAATTAGAGAAGAGTGTTACTTGCAATTGGTTGAGGAGACCTAACCGGAAGGGCGGATGCTCCCAGCAAGAGGAAAAGGAAAGCTTGGTGGCGGGAAGTTTTCATTGGAGAGTGGCTGAAAGCAGTACCTAGTGGTCCTGAGCCGGGCGCTTTGAGGTGGGAGACCGAGGAAGCGGGTGGGGTGGGGTAGGGGTGGAGTGTGGAGGGGTGGGGATCTGGGGGTAACTCTGCTTTGAATGGGCTAACCTTTCTTTTTCCTTCCTGAGGGCGAGGCCGGTCTATCGCGGATCACTTCCTTTCACCAATATATTGGCAGGAGAGAAACCGGCGTTAATCGTCGCCCGTCTCTAATGGAGTTCGGGCCTTTAGGGGCACCTTGAACTTTCTGCTCCTCTCTTTTTATCTCTAGCCTTTCCCATGCAGGAAGCTTGGTTACCAAAGTCTGTTTATTGGCAACCACCATTTATTGGTGAACAGCACGGTGGACGCATAGGCCAAGTGGAGGGTATTATTAAATTAATGTTGTCTTTAAAAAGCAGGTGCTGGGGAGCCTGGTGAATTAGCCTGTGGTACCGTAGTGACGGTTATTCCAGTATCAATGACTGGCTGTGACCCCGTGAAATATTTGCTGTGGGTGCTGTTAAAAGTTAAGAAATAGCGGGAGTAAAACCAATGAATCACTGAAGTAGTAATTAAAGTTTGTGGTGCACCCACCAAAGAGACAGGGAACCAGGAGCACTCAAGCCAAAAAGGGAATGAGGCTCTTGGGTATATTGTTATAAAGCGGCTTATGTAGTAAGAAGTCAGTGACTTTATTCCTCGCAGTGATTCGAATATTAACATTTCCTTAAGGTAGGGAATTGGTTAGTGGTTATCTCATATCAGCCTTGGGAAACGTTTCAAGTTTTGTTTATGATTTCTGGAGGCATAAAAAGGAAATTACCTAGGTCAAGTTAGTCTTACAACAACGTAAGGTCAATTGACTTTGTTTGACTAAACTGGTTTTGTCCCTTTGAGGAATTTTCAAGGCTCTTCTCCGTTTGTTTTTGATTTTAACATTTTCCCCCTTTTGGTTCTTTCAGCAGGGTGAGAGTATGATCAACCAGTATAGTGTTATTTTCAGGTTCTACCATTGAAGTACTCAGGCTGAAGAATCACATTTTTATTTTTTTTATTTAAAAAAAAAATTTTTTTTAACGTTTATTTATTTTTGAGACAGAGAGAGACAGAGCATGAACGGGGGAGGGTCAGAGAGAGAGAGGGAGACATAGAATCCGAAACAGGCTCCAGGTTCTGAGCTGTCAGCACAGAGCCCGACGGGGGGCTTGAACTCACGAACCGCGAGACCATGACCTGAGCTGAAGTCGGACGCTTAACCGACTGAGCCACCCAGGCACCCCAAGAATCACATTTTTGCTGTTGTCATTAGTTGGATTATTAGGCTAAGGGCCACGTGGTCACCATCTTCATCATTTATGTGGTTATTGTTGATTTCATACAGTTGTCTGATCCTGATGGATACCATTTGGTCTGTGAGTGGCTGCTGACAGGCATTTAAAACCTTGGAGAGTATGCAGCGCATTAGAGGTGATTTAAGGAGAACAATAGCCAAAGATTGAAAATTTCCCAGAGCAGATTCCCAGGTGCCAAGATTTAACCAAGTAAATAAATCAAATGGATTTCAGTTTTTTAAAGGTATTTACATAAGCATAATATGATATATTAACAGTCACATCTTTGTGATGACTCAGGACTGGATGAAGGTGAAGATGTTTTATTTTAAGTGGCTGTGTTGCAGGTGAACTTCCACCTAAATTAAGCCTCTGGTGTGAGCAATCAAGTAATTTAAAGAGAGGCATTTCTGTGGAAGCAAAAGAAAAATAAAAGCTAATATTTTAAGAAGATTATAAATTCAGTGTCTGAGTTTGGAGAGAAACCAGTTGAGAAAATTTCTAGATGTTGGGTTCAAATTATCTTTAGATGGATGAAGGCAAGAGTAACAATCTGACAGATTTTCCTGGTTTGCACTTTGAATGTCACTGGTGATCTTGCTGAGTGACCACATAGCAACAGGCACGTTGTCCTCCTCACATGAGCTGCTTTGGTGGTTTCTCTGAAGTTTACATCAGGTTGTTCAGCTTTAGTTTGCATGGCTTTGAGAAAAGGGCAGTTTTATTTTCACAGTGATTCCAAGTTACAAGAATGGGAGGAAATTGGAAATGTTAGTTTGGAGAGTTCTAGCCAGATATTGGAGGAAACTAGAATTCAGGATCCAGTTCAGTTTATAAGTAGAAAATAAAACCTTAAGGAAAATTAATAGCACTAGATGTATTACCAAAACATAATCATAATTTTTCTGTCATCATCCCATTTCTATTAGGGTAACTACAGTTAGGCTAATTTGTTTGCAAATTGAGTCTAGTTTCAATAAATTTGGCCTGACTATTTACATAAGTGCAGCAAAAATAGTGACTGACCATATAGGCTCTTTTAAATCTGCTTTGCTGGAACTTTTTCATAAAGAATCTTAGATTGAACTTTTCAGGGCTCTTCAGGCTAAGCAGCCAAGCTAAGGACTTGTCTAATTGTGTCCTATTACAAGGAGATCAGATCGAGCTTAAGTAAATACATATATTGTCATGAAAAATAAGACTATTTAATAAAAGGTTTTAAATTCTGGTGGGATCAGGTAGAAAGAAAAAGATAAATGTTTCAACCTTTGTTTACAAAAGTAGTTTTTACTGAATCACTGTAAGCTATAGATAGCTTAAAAGAGAGGAGAAAATGGAGCTTTTTAAATCTGGAAAGCAAGACATTGAAGAACCAGCAATATTTTAAATGAAATCATAAAAAATTATAATCATCTTCATTAGTTCATTCAGTCTCCTGTAATTCTTGTTTTGCTTCACCTTAGGGTTAATAACTTTATGAATCAGTTTTTCATTAGATTTTTAGAAATTCTTACCCAGTTCAGTGTTATGATCTTAAAGTTAACAGAAACCTGTACTTCTTAGTCTTTTCCATGAATCTCTTTGCAGATGAAGCACTATCGTAGGAACAGTTTTGCAAAAACAAACTTAAATCCAGTTCAATTTTAGCTAGACCACACAAAAAATTCCTTTCTCAAGATCCCTTTTCCATAAACCTTCTACACTTTATATCCATCCAGTTTTTGTTATGTCTTTTTTTTTTTTTTTTTCTCATTCTGGAATAATCATTTTACTTTTGGACAAAATTACTTCCTTTATTCCTTTACCAAAACAACATACCCATGTTCTTCATCTCTTTCCTTGTCCAAAAACATGTTCTATTTTCTTTAACTACTTTTCATATACTGTTGTTTTCTTTTAATCTTACTCTTTCTAGTAGTTTTAATTAAATATATTAATTAGATTTCTTAACTCTTATCTTTAATTCCTAGTAAAAAACAAGAATTAAGCAATTGTGGACTGGCAACTTTGTACATACACAATTATAAAAACCTTTTAGAGATCTATGTTTTTTATAATATAGTTTTTAATGTGACAAAGGATATAGTTATTAATAGACCCAAGTATCTATTGTCTGTCTGTAAAAATTAAAAAGCCAAAAGTTGGGGTTGTTCTAATGAATCCTAGGCCACTAACGTCTGAGTGACTCTTTTGAGACTGAGCAAGTGAGGCTAGGGTAAAACAATGTTGGCAGGTGCCAATAGAAAGCAATTTGTCATTAATAAAAGGAGAGTTGCCAAAGCTTGAATTTATTGGAAGAGTTCTCCTAGAAGATGAACTAGATTTAGGTTATCTTGTAGCAGATGATACAAATGGAACTAGAAATCAAACATAAATAAGAGCCTTGCATAGTAGTGCAAGGGAGATGCACAATGAAAACCATTCACTCTGAGGTAGATTTGAGACACTGTAGTAGTACTGAGGGACTGCCATGATGGGAACCAATTCAGAGAGCAGACTTTAAGCAACCTTTAAATGGCATTTCCAAAACACTGATTTGCTCAGGTCAGTTTTAGTTGGCCCTCAGACTTGAGAAGTATATTGAATGATATAGTTATACTTTCTTTTGAACTTTCTGTAGTTCTTATTAGCTTCAGGGAAAAATTATTAGTTGAGGTTGTATGTCCTTAGTAATTTTCTTATATCGGCTAATTACTCATTTTAACAAAAAGAGCAGTTACCAAGCTCCAAACGGTAGCAGGTAGAAATATCATTGGTTTATGTTTATTACAGTCATAGGTATGGTTACTTTCTGTTTTTAGTAAGTGACAGTTTTTTGTTTTTTTGTTTTCATTTCTGGTAGTGATGTATAGTTTTATTTCAATAAAAGTTTAAAGTTAGTTTCCTTAAATAAAGTATTAGTAATACTACAATACTGTACAAAAAAAAAGCTTAAAGTAGATAAACTTATGTTTTGCATTTAATGATTCAGTATATTATCTCATTTGCAAATGATTTAGATACTCAACAAATATTCATGATTTAGTTTAACTTGTTATAAACTTTTTATTTACATTTATTTAAATTATTTTTACCAATTATTCTTGGATTAGACATTAAACAGCTAACCATCACACTATTTTTCTTATCAACAAATTTTGAAGTCATGCTTGCTTTTGTTTTAATGTTTTTGTTTTATTTTTGAGAGAGCGAAAATGGGGGAGGGGCCAGGAGAAGGGAACAGAGAATCTGAAGCAGGCTCTGAGCTGACAGCAGCGAGCCTGATATGGGGCTCAAACTCATGAAACACTAGATTATTACCTGATCTGAAGTCGGATGCTCAACCAACCAAGCCACCCAGACACCCAGACATGCTTGCTTTTTTTAAGTCAACAAACTTAAACTAGGTTTTACATATCAAAGGTTGTATCAGGTCATGTGAACTTGAAAAACATTTTGGTTTGTTTTTATATGTCTGAGGGTTTCAGGAGTACTTAATTTATAAGTGCTTATTTTTCTTTAAGCCAATTAAATAGAGCTCCTTACATATTCTGGCAATAGCATCTGGAATTAGAAAAATATTACCCATCTATAACATGCATACATAGACATACATAAACATACAGACAGAGGCAAACAGATCTTGTAGCTTTTGTTTAAAAAAGTTTAGCCATGAGCTGATAGCCATAATATTGCAAAATTCACCAGTTTAGAAAAGAACAGTTGGATCTAAATTGTCTTTCTGGGAAGTTGAGGTTACCTGCTCAGATAGCAAAGTTGTTTGTTTTCCCCCTAGTAACTTTTTTTTTGTTTGCATGATGCAAAGATCTTTTAGAGCTATTTTTGCAGTCATTGTGTCTTTTAGAAGTTTCTGCTTATCAGAGAATGCATTCTGTTGTCTCTGAGAGATTTGAAATCTTCTCTTGTCAAAGGCACAGCTTTAAGATACACTTCTCTAAGTTAAAGTTGCCCTCCAGTGGCCGCTACAATTCTAGAAGTTCACCCATTTTTCCAAAAAGGCACAAAATCCTGGTCCATAGACCAACCAGGTAGAATACATCTTTACCTTTAGATTCCCTAAGAGTTCTTAGATATGAGGGGCCCTGCTTTCTAAAAGCTATTCTAAAACACAGGGATCCATGTGTTTCCCTGCCCTCCTCTCTTTGGAGTAGAATAGGAAGATTTACCTAGAAGCTTCAACAAACAAAATACAGGTATGCAAATTAGAGTCAGCTCAAAATGGAGAGAACAGAGCTCAGATATAAGAGAGACTTGACGGGGCGCCTGGGTGGCGCAGTCGGTTAAGCGTCCGACTTCAGCCAGGTCACGATCTCGCGGTCCGTGAGTTCGAGCCCCGCGTCAGGCTCTGGGCTGATGGCTCAGAGCCTGGAGCCTGTTTCCGATTCTGTGTCTCCCTCTCTCTCTGCCCCTCCCCCATTCATGCTCTGTCTCTCTCTGTCCCAAAAAAATAAATAAACGTTGAAAAAAAAAAAAAAATTTTAAGAGAGACTTGACTTCAAACTCTAGAGTCAGTGAGAAAGTGAATTAAATGGACTCTGTGGGTTCCATCACCATAGGGGCCTCAGAGTTAAGGAGGAAGGGAGGTTGGGGGGGGGGTGTCTTCTTTGGATCCCATTAAAAAAATTTTTTTTTAATGTTTATTTATTTTTGAGACAGAGAGATAGAGGGCAAGTTGGGGAGGGGCAGAGAGAGAGAGGGAGACATCAGAATCTGGAACAGGCTCCAGGCTCTGGGTTGTCAGCACAGAGCCTGACGTGGGGCTTGAACTTGGCAACAGCAAGATGAAGACTTGAGCCGAAGTCAGACACTCAGCCAACTGAGCCACGCAGGCACCCCTTTTGGATCCCATTTTTACACCACAGACTGTCAAAAGTTTAGAATTACCAGAGGTAAAACCAATGAATTATTGAAGTAGTAATCAGGAAAAGTTTATTGTGCACACACCAGAAAGACAGACTGCAAACCAAGAGCATTCAAACCAAAACATGGAAGGAAGCTCAGAGGTATATTGTTAGAAAGTGGTTTATATAGTGAGAAATTCCTGCTCTCAAGCCTCCTCTCCTTCTACTTTGTTCATCTGTATGTAGTCTTAAGTTTTAGTCATTCATAGGTATTTAAAGTTCCTTAATTACATACCATGTGTTTCCCCCACTTCTGATATTTTCATGTTTTTTCCTGAAATCTAGTCCCTCCGTGGAATACCAGTTCCTCTTTTAAGATTGAACCTAAATTGTAACTGTAAAGCAGGTATTCAATAAAATGTTGAATGATTAATTTGAGTGTTTATGTGGGTGGATTTTACCTAATCTGGGATGTTTGAATCTGTTATTTATAAGATAGGTTTTACCGTCCCAATTTTACAGATAAGGAAAGAGGTGAAGAGGAACAGGTTGTTTAACTTTGCTAAGATCATACAGTAATTTATTGCTAAAACTGTTTAGCCTCAAAGCTTTCTTTTTTGCTAATTGCTTTGTATGTGGTGTTTAAGTGTCATTGATGTTATACTTGTTTATGTGATTTTGGACACTTCTCTGAAATCTAGAGAATTCGCTATAAAAATTAGTGTGGGAATAACCATGTAGTCCTTATTTTAAAAGTCACTATAATATATAATTTCTGACATTTTTCATGCTTAGTAGTGATAAATTATTGGGTAGGCATTATCAATACTATGGTTTAAAAAAATTTGCTGTGTTTTTTCTTTCACTTTTAGAAAGAAGTTTGGATCCCAATTCAATTTTAGGATGGCAGCCATTTCAGGTTAGTGGAAATGATTACATTTTATAGTATATTCTGTTTTGTTTCTAACTGCATGCTCTTTGAAAAAAATTGTTTTTCTCTGTACTTTCAATTTTGCTGTGAACCTGAAACTGCTCTTAGAGGAAAGTCTTAATAAAAATAAAGAATAATAAATTATAAAAATATTTGTTTTAAAAATTCTGATTTTTATGTTTTGTGTTTTTTTTTTAAATTGTAAAACATACCAAAATGTACCATTTTAACTAATTTTAAGTATACAATTCAATGGGAGCAATTCACATTATTGTGTAACCATCACCAATATCTATCTCCAGAACTTTTTCATCATTCCAAACTGAAATTCTGTACCCATCGTACAATAATGCCCTCTTACTCCCTTTCTCCCAATTGCTGGTAACACTACTCGTACTCTGTATGAATTTGATTACTCTAGGTACCTAAGATAACTGGACTCATGCAATATTTGTCCTTTTGTGTCTGGCTTGTTTTCTTTACTATAATGTCTTTGAGCTTCATCCATTTTATATGTATCTTTTTAAGGTTGAATAACATTGCATTGTATGTATATACCACCTTTTGTTTATCAGTTTGTCTGTCAGTGGACATCTGGGTTGTTTTACCTTACGGCAATTGTGAATAATGCTGCTATGAACGTTTAAATACAAACGGGCTTGAGTCTCTTTTTTCAGTTCTTTTGGGTATATATACTTAGAGGTGGAGCTGCTGAATCACATGCTCTTTCTTCTATTTAAGTTTTCAGGAACTGCTGTATTTTTCTCCATACTCACTGTTCCATTTTACATTCCCAGCAGTAGTACAGAAGGGTGATGTTTTTTGATAGAATTATGGGAACCTCAGAAATCACAAAGTAGAATATATCAATCACTCCAAATCCCACTACTCAAATTAATACTGTAATATATGGATGCATTATTTTTCAACAGATTTTTAGTTTGCAAAGAGTTTTTACTATTTTTTTAATGAAGTATAATTAACATACAATGTTATGTTAGTTTCAGGAGCACAACATATTCCTCAGTTCTATCCATTAATCAGTGCTTACCATGATAAATGTAGTTACTATTTGTCACCA